TGCAACCAGTTATATAATGTTGCTGCAATTTTTGTGTCCCTAAGTAATCATTAGTTCACTTGACCATGAGTTTTCCAGGGACAAAAGCTGTCTTTTATCTCCATACCCACCCAACACATAGTTTGGTACAGAATTGTCACACATGAGTGTTTGCTGAATGAATGAATAGGAACTGCAGCAGATACCTACAGATGAGGGGCTGATATTCTCATCTTTTATTTGTTCATTCATTTATTGAGTACCACAATGTGCCAACTTACTAAGAACTAAGGATCTAGCATCCCAGTAGGCAAATCCTGATTAGAGTTGGACAATAAAACAAGTAGTTGCAGTAAAGTGTGGTAAGTGTTGGTGTGCTGCCTATCTAGGGACTACGGACCATGGACAGCAGGGTCTCTCATCTTCAGAACTACTGCCATTTGGGGATATATGATTCTTGGTGGTGGGGTTCTCCTGTATATTGAAGAACATTAGCAACATCTCAGCCTCTGTCTACTAGATGCCAGTAGCACCTTATCCCAGTTGTGACAATTAAAAATGTCTCCAGACTCTTCCCAGTGTCTACTGGGGGGAGTGGGGAGGAGCAGAATTGCCCCTGGGTGAGAACAACTGGCTTAGAGGAACCTTGCTTAGATACTATGTGTCTGTAATTTTGATTTTGCATTAAAATGTATTATATTAATTTGGTTAATGTCATGTTTTTACCAGAAATAATAGGAAATACCCTCCCTATGGAGGTTGGGGAGGGTATCTCTCAGCCTGAGCTTAGACTGATTTCTTAAAGAGGAAATAAAATAAAACAAAGAAATGTAATGAACACTGTAAATCCAAGTACAGGATAAACACTCACCATTGACAAAGAGGCTGCCCCTGACCAGGGTATAGTGACCCATCTGGGTGACACTGTGGGTCAGCTGGCTCAGCTCCCAGTAAAGTCGATCTCTGTCTAGCCCGGGGCTCAAGGGGTCAGGGTGATAGGTGCAGATGACATCGACCCTGGTGGCTGCTCCATCTTTCTCAGGCCTGGGGAGAGAGGCATGTGGGAACTCTAGAAAGAGAGAGATCCTGAAACTGCTGGGTGTGGGGGCCAGAAAGATGGAGAAGCTAATGTGAAGTTGGTGGGAAGACTGAAAAGGGGGTGGTCACCACAAGTGGCCATTATGGCAAATGCTCAGGAAAGACTCTTACCTGAGGGAGATCAGTCTGCAACCTGAGTAATAGGGGCCCAGGCTGCTCTTCATAAACAAGGATCTGAGCTGGAGAGGAAAGAGGAAGAGGATGAGCAGGAGGGTTGGCTAAGAGGCTGGGTGGGATTTACCCGACCAGGACCTGCTGGGACCAGGGTCTCACCAGGTCCTGCAGGACACTCTGAGTAGAGTTGAATATGGCTGAGCCACTCCCCATGTCTACTGAATACTGGAGGTTGGAGATGGTAAAGTTGAGTGTGAGGGTTTCCAAGTTGTACAACAGAACTGTAAGAGAAG